AAAAAAGTTAAATTAGCCTTGACTGTGCTTCTAAATGTGTATGTAAGCCTTTTGCTGTTAAAAATAAATGAGCTTGTGAGATGGTGGAGAGTCTCCAGGGAGGTCTACAAGTATCAGGAATGGCTAGTACTGCTTATATTCTCTTTTGCTAATAACAATAGAATAGAAATAATAACAAATGCTGTGACATTGGGTTTTCTAAAGCTTGTTTTCCAGACACCTGGGAATGTAGGGTACTCCATCATGGCTTGGCATTTGACTTGCCTCATTAACTTCCTGCTTCTTAAGGGATCAGATTTTGCTGGCTTAGACTTGAGATCACGTTAGAATCTGATACAGGGGGACATTAGCAGTGTTGAGTAGCCATCTGCCCACCCTCCCTCCCACGAAAGTGACCCTCTATCCCAGCAGAGCCCACTCTCTAATTCCCTGCTCCCTCCCTTCCCAGCCCTGGCCTTTGTGGACAACTTCGCTGACATTTGTTTGAGATGAAAGCTGGAAGGGCTGCTCTGCCAACAATCACAAGTTCAACCATAATTTGCTACTAAATTATGGTAGTAACAAATGTTCAGTGCTCATTGACAGTGTTTTGAATGTTTAATGTTTCAGTTGCCAGACTTCAGAAGCTTGTGTTGGTGGCCTTAAAGCTTCCTTTGTTTGAGAGAGCACCAGTTTTAACAATGCTCTCTGAAGAACAGAGATCTCGTGTTCTGCTCGTGCTCTCTGTAGCTGCCCCATGACAGGCTGCCTCCCTAGAAGCTTGGACTGATGCAATGGAGAGTCAGTGGAGGATAGTCTCATAGCTGGAATTTCTGGTCAGTGCCATTCCACAGAAATAACCATTGCTGAGCATGAGGAAGTTGGCAGTGATGAGTGGGATCTACATGTGGGATGTTCTAGCTATGGTGTGCCGGATACGTGCAGATGGCAGAATAGCCTTACTCGGTCGTAAAATTGTTTGGTTGGAAAAGACCTACAAGATCATCGAGCCCAACTGTATCTGTCCGCTAGTAAACCATGTCTCCTTGGGTCATTGTTGCCAAGGGCCTCTTAGGAGGTAGCTGTGATCTGGATTAAGTGCACTTAAGAGCACTGCAGCTTGATAGTTAACTTTGCATTTAGGGCTGAAATAGCGTTTGATTGTGGTCTTCCTCAGGAACTCTGTCAGGAAGGAGTAACTGGTACCACTGCATGGATACGGGTTGCAAATATTTGTTCAGGGCCAATTTAAATTTAGCCATTATTCATGTGGACTAAGGGACTGTAATTCATCTTGTCTCCTGTTAAATAGAGAATAATGTAAAGCATTAGAACTGTGCAAAACACTTGTCAAATACATGGAAAGAAACAAAGCAATGGTAGATACATTTTTCCTGTAAAAAAAGAAGGTTTGTTAATTCATCACAAGGGATAATTATACTTGGCTGTCTACCAGTAAGCTTCCCCCGTATGTAGATGAGTTGTTTGTGAATCATTTGGGTCATCAAGTAATCTCTGTAAGTAAGGAAGGGTATAAAATATCTCAGGATTTTGAAGTAAGAGTAGCTTCAGTACTTAGGCTTGGTTCTCAAGTTCTGCTTTGTAAATCCCGTAACTGCTCTGTTTTAGGGAGATTCTAGTCAGTTCATGAGTATAATGTTATTGTGAGTGGCTCATGCTAGTTAGAAATGATAAAAAAAAAAAGTGTTTTAGCTGTTCTAATAGGAGAATCAAAGTAATTTATCTAAGGAACATAATGCATATGTTTTGGGTTGTATTTGTGTGCTGTATAGTGCAGCCTCTTGTCTTGAATTCCTTGTTCTGGTCTGACTTCTTACACTGCTTTAGCGTAAGAGGCGGCTTTTCGTGGGCTTCCTCCCACCCCTTGCCATGTTAAATAAACCTAAAAATTACTCGTATGTATAGCACTGCAGCTTGATAGTTAACTTTGCATTTATGGCTACTAAAGTTATATACAGGATTTCCAATCTTCCTGGACCACCAATGTGGTGCCATGCTCTCTTTCACAATGCAAGACATCTGACACTTATGTGTTGTGATCTGACCTTTAGGAGTGGGGCATGTCTTCCTCCTTTAGCAGGAGGCTGTAAAAGAAATGAGAATTCATCTTATCCCGCATCATGGATATAATGTGTAAATCGGCAACTTTATAACCTGAATCTTAAAACTCTAGAGCAGTCTTCACTGGAGAGGGAGGCGTGTAGGAAGTATCTAGTTTGGCTAAACAAAATCTAGTCTATGCTTTAAGTACATTTAATACTGCTGGTTAACAGAACTGAAGATATATGTTTGCTGATGTGAATGCTTTGAAGAGCGCTAGTAGATTGGTCTAGAGTAGGTACTGCTTAAATAACTTGTGCAGTGCCTCTAAATTGCACACATGGATACAATATAGTACTTAAACTATACTTATTGTAAAAATTAATTTCCAGCAGAAGATAGTGTGAAGGTTTAGGTATATTACCTGAACTGAAAAACATGCAAATGTGTTAGTGAATAACCCTAGCTTTTAAAAGTCATTAAATAGTTTACAAGTATCTACCTGTGCATCTTAATTAATAGGAGGAGAGTAAATTGAACGGACTATGGTACAGAACCACATTTATACTTACTGTAAAATCAGGGGACAGTGACTGTCCTATAATATTTGATGGAGCATATTTATGTGAAATGCCAGGTGGATACCAACTTTGTTTCTGTGCTGTCACTTAATATGTGATTCTACGGTGTCACTTAGTGAAATGTAATTACTTGCATGCACAGACCAAGATGTTTAAAAAAAAAAAAACCTAAACCCAAACTACCAAACCTAATACTAGTACCAGCTCTGAAACAATGATTTTTAACTGAATGGAACTCTAACGGATTTTTTTTTTTGAAGTTGCATCATCTTAAAAAGAGTGTTTACATCAAAAAAATCTTAGATAATAATACAGTATTTTAATAAGTGTTGTTCATTTGTGATGTAGATGTGGATTTGATTTACAACTAGATGAAGATGTTAGATTGTTAATTTGAATTTACCATGGAATTGAAACATTTTGAGGCAAGAAATTAATTTGCTGGAGGTTGAGTTGAATAAACTATCTCAGAACCTCTCTCACTAACCTTAATAAAACTTCTGCCTTCTTGTCAAGGTGCTGAATCATGGAGTCTAATTCTAGATGCTCAGATTTGAAAAATTGGCTTAAGCAAATAGCATTCTGGAAAATTAATTCTCATATGCCAATAGGTTTGTATGTGACTTCAGTTTTTAGGGTACTCTTTAAGTTCACTGCATTTCTTGGCAAAATACAAATGTTTATTTTTATCCAAGTGTTTCACACATTGAGTGTCTTAAATCTTTTTTTTAATGAAACTTAGGCTAAAATGCTACTGCTTAGTGTTCTAATCAGTATCCAACTTTTAACCAAAAATATGGATTTTTTTAACACAAGATCAGAATTGCCTTCTTGCAAGCACACTGAATTTACATATCAAGGTGAATTTGCAAGCTAAATGCACAACAATATTTTTTCTTTTAGCACTTTCAGTTTCTGAGTAAGTATAAAAATATTCTTTAAAAGTTGAATAGAAAGTGTAAATATTTGGAATGTCAGATTTTTGTTTGTTTTGGTGAATAACAATTTAATTTATAGTTAGAGTTCTTGAAATAATCATTACTAGTTGTCTTAATTTGGATGTCAGTGATTTTTATTTTGTTTTATTTCTTTCTTAAAAGTAATCTGAACCAAATTTATAATTAAAGCAAAGTAATGAATATAAGCAATAAAGCTAAGTCTTATTAGTTGATTTGTCAGGAATTTGTTAGCCCCGTATTACGTCCTTGGAAAGTTTTCCCCAACTTCCTTTCTGCAAACTTTCTTCTCGTATACATAACCACAGAATTTTGTGTTCTTTGATATCTTATAGTTAATATATATTCATTTTTTTTAAGATGATATTGCAAAAATCCAAGCCTGATTGACTTGAGTATTAAACTAACCCCATTGTATTGCCTGAGTTATGTCTCCACTGTTTGGCATATGTGGGATGTAATGTTCTTGTTTCCATTGAGCAAAACACAGCTTTATTTTAATTGTAAGTATTTGTGGGCAAAAGCAGTAGTTAGCATGGATTTAAAGAAAGAGCTTGAAAAGAAAGCTTTTTCTTATACTGGCACTGTTGCTCAGTGGGATTTTTCTCTATGCTTGCAGGTTTTGACTGAGCTGGGTTTGACAATGTCAGGTTTTGGCAGCACAAGTGACTTTTGAGTTTCTGTTAGCTCTGCTGCAGCAGTCTGTGGTGTGGATGCAAGAATGGTGCCAATCTTTGCTTAAAGCAGAGCTGCTGAAGTTTTGAGCTGTTGCATTAGTAGGGGTATCTCATTTGCGAGCACAATAAACCCGTTGTCTTTTTGCTTTTGTTGCTGTTTGTGTGGTGTTCAGGAGGAGGAAAATGACAGACCTGTGGATGGAGGAGCAAAAAGTAAACTAGATACAGATGCTGGGAGGAAACAGGAAGTATAGGTTAAAGCAAGAGAAAAAGAATCTGAGCTGGGTAGTTTAGCTTGAAAAAGTCTAGTTGGGTAGAAGTCGTAGTAAGAATAGGTTGAAGTGAGGGAGGGGTTGGAGGGGAAGAAAACAAGAGGGGCCGAAGATTGAGAGATGAAGGGTAGAGGCAAAGGTGAACAAGTTTGGGGAAGCAATTTAGGATTTAAAAAGAAAAAAAGCCTTATGTTCTCACAAATTTGCATAGAAAGGATCAGAGTAAGGTTTGCATGTGCAGTTTATAAACATTCTTCTCCCCTAAAGCTCAATTATTTGGTTTTGCATGCTGGATCTTATTTCGAGATGAGCTTACAGAGCCTTAAGTTGTATGGCAGTACCAAAATGAGTATGTTTTACAGAGATGGCTCCTGAGTTTAAAATTGAGTGACTTCTGGTTATAATGTTAAAATGATTGTATGATGACAGATTTCCTAAATACTGACTAAATACTTCTTGCTTCTTTTAGACGGGGCTTGAATCCACCCCACAGAGTGAAGTCAATTTCAATGACTACTTTCACACAACAGGAAATAGAATTTCTGCAGAAACATGGAAATGAAGTAAGTATTATTTGGAGAATATCAAGTGGTTTGGGCACTTTAATATTAAAAACTTTAAAACAGTGCTTAAGAAAAACTTGATTTTTTGGTAGCAAAAAGTAGACAGAAGTCTTTTGAAGCCAATGTCATTTGAAGTGATGCTTCAAAAGAGCTCATTTCACTTAGGTAGCTGATCATCATAATGTTAAGTGTTATTTACCAACCCAGGCAATCTAGATTTGCATGATCAATGTTTCTGAATTGTGTTTTCTTTTGCTTTTGCATAAGGCAACATGCATCAGTCTTTTTTTTTTTTTTTCTGCAAGCCCAGACCTTGAGACTGACTGCAGCAGTGTTTCCTGAAAGAGCATACCATGACAAAAATAAATTTGCTGTTTGTAGTTGTATTTCTTCAGAGTAGGTGTCAGAAAGTCTTTAGTACTTTCAGTAGCCTCTTTCTTTTCATTAAAGCATATCAATGTTGAAGGTTCTTGGAGGGGAAGGAAAGGAAGAATTTTTTTCCTCTAAGGATTGTTATCTAATAAGTGTCTATATGTTTAGAGTGGCTTGGGGCAGCTTTGATGACAGAAAGCTCTAGCATACTGCCTTTTTGTTCTTTTTAATAGATGAAACTAAATCTGAGGTAAATGTTGGATTGGCTCTGTGGGGACACATGGAGCATGTAAACCCTGGACAGCTATTGCTGTCTTCAATTTGAGAATGCAATTTCTATTTTAATACCATTCTATAGCATTCAGGATTTTAGAGGCAGCTTTTGCTTCTGTTCTGAATTGGAAAAAGTTCTATTTCACTTTGATTGGATCTGTATTCTGTTTTAGTAGAACTATTGATTGTAGGCTACAGAGTGTCTTATCAATATGTTCTTTTGAAGCTTTATGGGGATAAATCCCATCATTAGCTAAAATGTTGACGCTTAACTTTCTTAAACTTGGCCCATTCATAACTGTTGGGTTGAAGAATGAAAACAGAAGTAGCAATTTCTTTTTCTGTCCTGGAAAATGGGTTATTTGTTGAAATTACTGTTAGTGGATGATTCCTGTAGACAGAGCTGGAAGAAGGTCAAAACTCTTCCAGACACCATAAAATACTCTTAATGGCTCTGACCTTTTTTAACTGTTTGGTTATGTTAAAGCTGTGTAACATTGCGTATATATGTGAATAGCATATTGCTGACTTTTTGCACAGGAAGAATAATAATGAATCTTATGGGTTCAAATATATTATGTTGGACTCTCCATAAGATTAGGTTGCAAACCCCAGCTTTGCTTTAAGCTTCATGAGTGTAAAGAAAAATGTGTATGCGTGCATGTCCCTCCCTCCCCACATCTGTTTTAATTTCAGTATTTCACTGAAACTGCAATGGCTAGAGAATGCAACCAGTTTCATTTTTCACCGATCTGAAACTTTAAGTGATCCCTACTCAGTTGATCAGCATAGTTGTCCTTCTCATTATAGACTGACTAGCCTGCCAATCATAATGATTTAGTTGATACATAACTTATAACTGACATTAAAAAAGTTCACAGATCTCTGCAGTGCTATACTGTATTTCAAAAGCAGGGGTCTTTGTGTTTGTAATACTTCCAGTTACTTATGCAAGCTTCGTGTTTGTGTATTCCTCCAGTTAAAGTATTGCAATGATTTAAATGAGCTACCTCATAAATGAAGATGTCCTCCTGAGTTTAGTTTTGGTTTGTTGAATAGCAGTGTGTAGCCTTAGTTCTAAAGTAACACTGAATAGATATTTGTAATTGCAGATAGTAGATTTAACAGGTACTCAAATACTGAACAGAAGTGATGTTGTTTTAAACATTGTTAGAAGTTTAATACTTAAAACATGGTTTCTCTTTGTCATGCAGTATATTGCAGTGGTTAAATAAGCATTCTGCTTTCTCTTGTTGGTATTGGACTTTGGAATACTCACCTGCAGATAAGATAAAGATTGGGCAGATGAAGTTCATCTGACCTCACAAAAAACCTTCTTTGCTTAGCTTGCTCTTCAGCATATGTGGCTCTTGTGTATATATTAAGAAATGAAATTTTCTAGGATAAACTTGTTCAAACATGGAATTGTCCAATGTTTTAGAATGTGGACACAAACAAAGTACAGTGAATGGTTTAGATGTTGTACCATTCAGTTATTTTGGTTCTGCAGCTATAGATATAAAAAACCAGAAACCTCAACTTTTTGCAATCTAGTATGTTTAACTTCCATTTTTCTGGAGCTTACAAAATACTGTCATTCACACCTTGTCCTCCCAGTCTCTCTGCAACATGGTCAAGGCCTCTGTGGTAAGTTTTTCTTGCTTCCAGATGAGTAGATCATGGTGTACATAGGGAACTTGTTCTGAATAGGAAGGAAAATAGCAAGAAAGCTTCCCTGAGATAAAGTAGTTCTAAGGTGGTGGAGTTGTTCTTGGAGGAAGTAGTTTTCCACTCTCCTTGAAGAGTCTTTATAGGGTCAATGTATTGTATGAGTTTGAAGTTCTCTTAACAAAAACAAACAAACAAAAAACCACCCAAACCTCATCTCTGAAATGGTAACTTCCCCAGTTGTCACAAATTGCCATCTTTGTAGCACGCGTGGGTAAAACATTCGGTTACTAAAAGGCTTCCACAAAGTGACTGCTTTGGGAAGAGATTATTCAGAGCAGCTTCTCTTCAGGTGTGAGACGCCACCTACTTCCCTGTATATACACCTCCAAGGAATGTCTTTCTGGCACAGGTAACTTGAACTTGTTTTCAGATGACTTTCTACTGCTTCAGATACAGATTTAAATCTTCTTACTGTATTAGAAGACATCTATATTTTGGTGTTGCTTACTCATCTGCAGGTATAAACAGATGTCCAGACTCTGATTTTGATAACATTGGGGCTAGCTCGCTTTTGCAGCAGGGATGGAGACATCTTCAAGCTGATATTCCTCAAGTACCTTTTGAAGTCCTTTTGAAGGATAAAGGCAATTCTGACTCACTGGGTAGGATTTCCCCTTCCTCATTCTCTTAATGAAGAGCAGTGTGAGGTATTTTCACACTGTATTTTCATGTTAGGCCTAATGAGGAGAGAGTGGTATGGAGATGGTTCTGTTTGAATGCTCATAATCAAATGATGCTAACGTTGATTAGGCCTCTGATTCAGTAGTGCTATGATAGTAGAAAGTGAACTTGCTACAGAAAGTGGAGGCGGTACTCATCTCATGTTGCCATTATAGCTGTGAATATTTATTCAGAAGCTTTCCCCTGAAGCTGAAAAATAGTATTATGAGGCAAACCAGTTACATAGTTAATTTTTCTACTACACTTTTGAAAAGTGCCATATGTTTTATAACCTTTCCAAATAGCCTATTCTAATATGTATATGGTGGAAGCAAATGATTGGGATGGTCTTGTATTTGGAAAATCTGTGTTGATCTGGGGGCAAGGATCATGTTTACTTGAGCTAATGAGTAGAACGCTACGTGGGTATGCTCAACTGCTTGGGATTAGTTTATCAGTGCTTAATTTTGGTTTTGTGCCAGTCTACCTGACTCTGGATAGCATCTGTGCAAGTGTTTCTTACCACTTTCCCGCACTCTAGATTCCAGGAGAACCTATGATTGCAGAACTAGTAGTAGTATGGGGCTGGTTCAGAGCTGGTGTTTGGCCTGACCAAAATGCTTTCCTAGAATCTCCTTTACTGTGGAATGTGGCCTAGAAACCCTGGAGTGGAAAGAGCAGTACTAAGCTGGAGCTGATGAGTTCTGACAGCATGAGCTGTGGCAGTCAGGTGTCCTTGTAGTACATCCCTGGTACTGCTAATACGATATAGAGATGCATGAGCTGATTGTGTATAGAATAATGTCTTTGTTAGCAGGATTTACTAGCTTGGACTCTGTGCTTATGAAAGCAGCTATAGCTTGTGGACCCAAACTGGCTTTGAAATCAGCATACTGGCAGTATAAAATTCTTTTAACCTACAGAGATTAATGAATAATATTGACATCAGAAGTGCTGAATTACTAAACAAAGCTATAACTTGCTTACATAAGGGAACTGTTTCCAAATCTTTCTTCCTGTGGTGAGTGTTATGTTTTGGAACATAGTTTTGTTGTGTGGTAATCTGTAGTTCTTTGCACTGTCAGCATTACCTTTGGTGCATAACTGAGGATATTTTACTGGGGGGGAAGGGGAAAAGAAGAAATCTAGTTTGGCATTTACCAGACTCCTGAAAGGTAATATCTCATTAGAGCTTTTTAAACTAGACTGACATGTGTAATCTTCCTATGCAATGGTGTGTCTGGGTCAAAACAAGAAGCGCTTTGTTGCTATAGGACTAGTACTGTGCTTTTTCTAGTTGCCGTGCAGCTTCTACTAGCACTTGTCCTAGTATAGCTTTTCCTTGCTGTGCTGCCTTCGCTGCATACAAGAGAAGGCAGTTTCATGAGCAAAAACTTTATTTTGCTGGCCTAACTGAATTTTTATTATTCCTAACTAGCACAACTATGCTAACAGGAGTTTCTAAAATGTGGTGGCTCAATGTGTTGTGTAAGCAGAAGGCCTTTGTCTCTCCCATATCCGCCTTCCCACACACACTGGAGATCTGTATCAGTGAAATAGTTATGACATGGTAAAGTGTTGTTTGGTGGCTGAAATATGTAGCACTGGAATAGAAATAACTGAAAGCTCAGAGTCTCAAGGCTTTCTGCAAAATTTGATGGTTACTACTGTCAGTTTTATGTCTTTGTTAGCAGTTTTTTAGTGTGCCTGCCCTTCCCAACTCGGTCAAAACACACACAGAACCCCCTAAAATATGACAACAAACCTAGAAACAAAACCCAAGCTAAACATTTTTGGAAAACAGGTATGTTTATGTTCCTCTTGCTCTTTGAGCCCTGCCTGGAACTCCTGAAAGCATGAAATGTTACTATAAGGCTGGGTTTTAAACCTGAAGCCTTTCTGGTTGACTTTGTTTTGTGGAGTACCAGATATGCAATGAATGGGATGAGTTCTTTGTTCCTTTA